CGTTTTATGTGCTTTTTGAACCCAAAATTTTTTAGTGAAGTAAAAGTTCCTTTTGACTTTACTAACATATATGTTGTTTTTACGAAAAAAAAGGTTTTCTCCACTCGTCAATATTGCAACACACCTAACTCGTCAGTATGCCATCTTAGGAAGAAGTCATCATTTTCATTTAAACAAGCTATGTCTGCCTTGTTCAAAGGATAAAATTAAAATAATATTCCTCTAAATGCACAAAACTTGGAAATAAAATATGTGAAAGTTTCTGCACAGTTAATAATAAAATCACAAGCTTAAAAATACAACAGCACATTCCAAATACAATTTTTGTTGATTATAAAAGCAATATTTGTGCATAAGGGACGTATCTTTACTAAAACTAGTGTAAAGTCAGTATAGACATGTTGGTCTAATCACTTTTTTGCCATAGCCAATATTTATGAGAATATGACCGTATGCCATCATAGGCGCTATGCCATCATAGGCGCCTTTCCTCTACTTTATGAGCTCCGCAAGTCTTTCAATTAGTTTTTAAAAATTTGGCAAGCAATTTCATGGATAATGAATATTTCCAAAACCAAAAAAAAATGCCACAACAATCGATCCGCGTCTTTCGTCGAAAACGAAAATTACTTACCTTTGAGAAGTGTATATGTTAATAAATTGATTTTCCTATTTTATTCTTAATGATAATGGTTTAACATTTGAGATGATAATAATTTTCAATATTAAATAATTAATGATAATTTTAAATTTTAAAATGTTATTTAATTTATGTCAGGACTTTATGTGTTTTATACTATTGATGAAGAACTTTAGCCCTTGACAGTAAGGTCATTGAAAAGAATACCCATCCATGAACCTGATCGTCCCTCCACCTCAATTGAATGATAATATAAAATTGAGTGAGTTGAGTGGTCTTTGAAGCTATTCAAATAAAGTAGCTTCAATAACAGGTTTTTTTATTTTCAATATTGTTCTCAATATGCCGGACTTTTATCACGAATAATGTCTGATGTTTCTTTATCTTCCATTAGCACAACCACAAAGCGGAGATCTTCAATACCGATCAGTTGCAGATTTTGTTAATGCACTGATAAAAAAAACGGGAATTTATGATTGTTGTCATTGATGACTTGAAGGAAATATTCTCTTTCGAGGATCACTTTTTTGTAAAATAATTGACCTCATCTACGTTTGGACAGTCAAAGTTCAGCTTTGATCAAGGTTTCTGCTCTTCTAAAACGTTTTCCAAATTAAAAATTACAGTGCACTTTGGCCCAGCTGCAGTGCGAATGGAGGGCTCTAAAATTGTTAAAAAAAGACGCATTTGACCTGGTAACCGAATCTGCTCTAAAGGCAACGATGGCGGAAAATATTTGGAGCAGAGTCATTTCCATTAAAATAGCTTTTTATGTTCCAAGATTTACTAAATTGTGAGTCTGCATTGGTCTTTTAAATTGTCTTCTTGTAAGCAATGCTACAGCTGAAAAAGAGTTCAGTCAATTAAAACTCATTAAGATTGATAAAAGAAACCAATTAGAAGACATAACAATTTTGACTCTGTTGCGAGTGAAACATTGGTTAAAAAAAAATGATTCCACTGTCCATGACATTGAATTGCCTGAGAAACTTTTGAAAAGTGCTTTAAAAGTCAAATCAAATGCTTTGGTAGGGTATACACCTGATTTATTTGTAAGATATTGTATTGATTTTAAATGATTGAAGGAGATTGCTATATGGTTCAACTTTTGCCCGGAAATATAATTTTTATATGTTAAGCGTTATTTTATTTTCAATAAGTGTATTTTCTTGCACTCTTTATATTGACATTAACATTTTTATTCATTTATGCGGCAACACTGTGATCAAAAAAAATAAATAAGATTTTTGCATGATTTCAAGCAAAAAACACACGATCTAAAACAAAATGGAAGATTCTTATTTTATTTTTTGTAAGATTTTAAGAATTTAATAACATGATAAATTTGAAAATTAGGTTAAATAAAATGGAAACTTCATGATTTCAATTCTCCATTGTGGAAGCACTGAGAGTATCGTGGCGGTTTTAAATATGGATCTAATAAACCTTTTGCAAAGCTATCTGGGATTGAAATGTGGACAAACAATGCAAAGTGCAAAGAAAGTTATTACCAATTCAGAAAAAAAAAAGTGTATAAAAGTGCAATAAGAAAATGTTATCAGGATTTATTCTCATCAGATTATTGCTACCTTGAACATTTGCCAACTGATGTAATGATGTAATTAAAAAAATAAGAAAAACTAAAGGTTCGATGACAAATTGGAAAAAACGATAAAAAGAAATAAAGCTTTCGAAATTTTATATTTAAACAAAAAGTTTACATCTTGTAGATTTTCTTGTCGAAAAGAATGAAAATAATATTAACATATAATATGTAGTCATTATAAGAAAAAGATTTGTCTTCATTACCAAATTTACCAAAAATAATTTGTCTTCATTACCAAATTTACCAAAAATAATTTGTTTTCATTAGTTCTAATATAAATGCAGAATACAGCATTGTTGATTTTAATACTGGAAATAGCCATAATTTTTTTTTTTTTTGTATATTTCACAAGTGTGGAATTATGAAGTTTATCAATTTTCAAAAATGTATTCTTGTCTATAAAAGATATTATAATTCAAGACTTTTTTTTACAGAAACAAGCAACTATTTATATTGCATTATTTTTAAGTGTGTGAAAAGATTGCAAAAGAAGAGGTCGTGCAATCAAAAAGAATTGTAACAAAGTTTATTTTGAACGATTCAATGAAGATGCTTCTTTAGATTCAAATAAAAATAAACAATTCAATCAAAAGTTTGAATTATTTGATGGAGCAATGCTTTATTAATTGGCACTAGCATTTTAATTAGTTAATGTTACTTCATAATCCAGTGGTTCCCAACCGGTGGTCCATGGACCCCAGAGGGTCCATAAGAACTTTTTATGCGGACCACAAGGTAAACGTAAATTATAAATATTAGTTGTGCTCTATCAAAAACTCAGCAAATAATATCTGAAAGTCAAACTTTCAGATATTATTTGCTGGTAAGCAGTGCCAGAATTCACATTGACCTGTTTTTGTATCATATATTAACTAAGATTAAGTATTTTTGCGTCACTGGTGGCCTAGTCTATTCAAAAATACCTTAAATAAAATATTATCTTGTTGAATAAAAATTTTATTTTTAAAATGTTCAACTTTGTAATAATTTTTGAAAGCAAAGGGGTCCATGAAGATTTTAAGATATATAATTTGGGGAACGGTTTAGAAAAGGTTGGGAACCACTGTCATAATCGGTAAACTTTTAAAAATGCTTGTGTGCTTGAGTATCTTTGTAAAATTTAAATTTCGTTCTTACAAATTTAGCTGATTAATTTATTTTTTTTTCCCTAAGTGCAATTTTTTACTTTTTTTTCTATGTGTATATCTGTACCTAAGAAGCCAAAAGTCGGTTATCACATTTTAGAAATTGTTCATGAGAGATAAAATAGTAAAATAGTTAGTTTTTATTGGTTTATTCTTGATGGTTAAATTTATGTAACTAATTTTGTTTCACATTGTTGTAGGACAACAGTCTTTATGCATCTGGGTAGATACTGAAAAAATTATAAAGATCTCATATATAACTCATTTTTACAAAAAACTGGACAACCAACCTTTGTCTTCTAAGGTACAGATATAAAGATTTTCTTTTTTGATTCTTTTACAAGTACTAATACAAAAAAAAGTAAATTAAAAAAGATTAAATACCATTTTGAACAAAAATTTTGGTGTTAAAAATTAGATTTTTTTAAAATTTAGATTTTTTTATCTTACAAAGATTTTTGTACTAATTTACAAATATCTACTAATTTTATTTGGTCGCAATTTTTATAAAAGAACTTTATAATCATATTAACTAAATATTCTTTTAATGTTTAGAGAGCTAGGTAACATTTTTATAAACGCTAAAACAAAAAGAATTTAACCTTGTCAAATTCTTTTTGTTTTAGCGTTTACTCTCAGATGCGAAGGAGGGGTATTTAGTTAACTTTTGGAAAATATACCCTTAGCGTATTAAGATTCATTAAATTCATTCGTTTATTAAATTTTAATTATTGCCAAAGAAAACTATCTACTGATAAAAATAAAAACTTAGAGTAATCAGGCTTTAAAATGTTAAATTTAAACTAACTGATCAAAATGAAAACTTTCATTGTAATCAGCTTTTAAAAATTAACAAAAACTAAACAAGAATTCAAAAAGTTATTGTGAGTGTTTATTGAAAATTGTATAACTTTTGAGTTGTTTGTCCGATCCTAGAATCCTTTCGATCCTTAGTTTTAATTATTTTGATCCTTGAGTCCTTAGTTTTAATTTATTCAATATTTACGTGACGAAAGCAAAACGGTACTCTATTAGAATTTTTAATTTGATCATAAACAATCTAATCAATAGTTAAAGAGTTAAAATTTCTCTCATGTAATGTTACACGAATACTTCCTTAATTTAACTATGAAACTAATGACAACCAAAATGTTGGCGTTGGCGACAATTCAACAGTAACTTGATAATTTTTTTAATTTCAAAGCAAATTGATTGTTGCCTTCTAACTTGGAAAAGTTATTTTGTAGAGAAAGTTTTACAAACTTTTTAAAAATTTGTAATATATTCTATATTTCAATGAACCGTCTGAAAGTAACAACAAAAAAAAAAAAAAAACAAAAAAAAAAATAACGCTTAATAGCAAATTAAAAAAAAAAATTAACAAAAAACTACTTGTAATGGTGAAATATACAATCATCAATTTGTTTGTAGTACCCAAGATTCATTGTGTAAAAGCATTGTTTGTCAAGGTTCGTGTTTCAGAGTTAAGAGGAACGAGAGAGGGTAGAAACAACATTCTAATTAAAAAAAATTAACTTTCTGACTGTAGTTGTCCCTCGGCGTAGGGCAAGTCAATTAAGAAAACAACAACAAAAAAAAAGTACAAATATTTAAAAAACATGTTTACTAAAATTTAACGATTAAAAATTTAACAATTAAAAAATGCTCAAATTAATGGCTAAATAAGTGCATACATAAAAATACAAGATTAAATAAATGCGTTAAGCTTACAATATTTGAAAATGAAAAAATACAATAAGAAAATAAATATGTATATATATGTATATGTATTTTAAAAAATCATTTTTAAAAATATTTTAAAAGGTGCATTTTCGTAAAATTGTTTTGAAAGTTTGATGGATCCAGCCTAAAAATAAAGAAAAGTATATATAACAACTCAATATTGAAAACTAGTTTTTCTTATAAAAAAATAAACTTCTTACCGTACGATTGACAAGAAGTCAAAGCAGCATCAAAACGTAAGTAAATAGCGTTTAACTCTATAATAACCCCATCTAACATAGTTGCATGCTCAAACATTAAGTCGTAGAGGCTCCATAAACCTGCATTGTTCAAGATTACCCCATTACAGTAGATGACGTCACGTAAATCATTTTTAATCTAATTTGAAACAAAAAATGATATTTTCAAAGAAATTGTTTATACATAAAAAAACAAAAAAACTTTTTGTTTTAACGAAATAAAATAATAATGTACTTCAATACAAAAACAAAGTTGACTTACTAATTCAAGTTTTGCTCTTGCAGCTTTAGCTTGACTTAACTGATCAGCAACATTCGATCTCAATGTGGTTAACATCATAGTGTTGCAAGCTACATTCAACAATGAATTGTCAAAACCAAATAATTAAGAACATAAACACTGAAATAGGTGAACCCTAACTTCAAAGAATACAAAAAAATACCTTGACATGCTTTATCAACGGTATCATCTCCATATGAACTTAAATATCTAAGCACAGTTTCTATTGCTCCATGAGTTAAACCTCTTGATTGAAATTGGTCAAACGTAGGAACAGAAGACCATTGTTTAACTTGAGAACAGTTACAACGTTTTGCAATAGCACAAGATTCTTTAAAAAAAAATCAAAGTAACTCAAATAAAGAGAAAATATTAAATAATATTTTTTTAAATTACAATAACTTACATAATTAATTTTTTATTTTAAAGAAATGTAAAAGAATAGTAAATTTTTACTTGGACAATCAAACAGTTTACAAGGAAGAGTTTGCGTAGTGTTGCCAGTACAATCATCACCAGCCCCTATTGGGTAAGGAACTGAGCAGGCTCGTGATCTTTGAATAATACCAGCATCACAACTTGCACTGCATGTAGACCAAGCACCCCAAGTACTCCAAGTTCCTCTTACTGAACCATAAAGAAAAATAAAGGCAAAATTAAAACAAGTAATTACTTAAATAAAAGTGAAATTTATAATTTAAAAACATATGTCATAATCTCTACAAATATACTAGTATATAAAATAAACTTCCGTACCTGGACAAATAACTCCAACATTACATTGAACAGTTTGGATTTTATCACCATTATTATCAGAAGGACAAGGTCCATCAAGAGTGTTGTTAACACAGAACCTCTGGCGTGATTGAGTCGGAACAATATTACCAGTAGACTGGCAAGACGCAGAGCAATCAGTAAATGGTCCCCAACTTGTCCACACACCTGGTAGAATAAAATAAAATTAAAAAAAAACTTGTTCAAACAAATATGAATAAGATAAATGAACAATAATATTTCATATTTTTATTTAAATAGTTTAATTTGTTACCAGGACATCCTACATTAGCATTACAACTGAGGGATTCAACAAGCGAAGCACCACCGCAATTGGCACCAAGTGTAGCTGTTGTGCATGTTCTTGTTCTAGTTTGAGATGGGGCTATCAACAAGTTGCTTCTACAAGACTCTGAACACGAACTCCAAGTGCTCCATTGGCTAAGAATTCCTTTAAATGGTATAATTGTACTTTTAATCAAAAATTTATTTTTAGTCAAATATAGTGATTTATATTATAAAATATTTTGTATGTACTTTTTTGGTGGCACAAAATTCAAAATCTTCAGTTTGAATTGTATAAAGTTTTATTGTAAAACTCAAACCGTGATTTGTACTGAAGATTTATTTGAAGAAAAAATTTATTTCAATTATATTTTATAATTTTTTAATATTTTTAGAAATGTTGCTACTGCATAGGTACTAGGTTCGCAGTTCGCATTTTACCGACGACCTACTGCATAAATTACTTCTTATGTTGACAAAAGAAAGTACTATTACTATTTCTTTATTATAAAATAATTCGTATTATAAAAAATTCATATATTGTGTATATAAGTAAGGAGCTAAGCTAGTATTACTTTAAATTAATAATATTTAATATTAATGTTTTCTTATTTAACTTCTTTTTATTCAGTATAAATAATCAAAAACCTTTTAAAATCATTTTTTAAATAAATAATATGAAATTTTTAAATATTTTTTTACCAGGACAAGGAACATCTTTAACACAAGGAGTTTGATCATTTAATACAGCTCCACCACAGTTTCCATTTAATGATGCATTGACACATTGTCTTGATCTGTACTGCAAATTATATTGACCAACTGTTTGTTGACATGTAGCTGGACATTGACTCCATGATGTCCAATCAGTCAATTGACCTAACAAAAGTTATAAAATTATTAAATAAAAATAAAAATTAATTTATTGACCTAAGATTTAATAAACTATTTTCATTTTATTTTTAAATAGTCTCAAACACTTATTTATAAAATTCTACCTGGACATGCTACTCCTGCATTACAAGGTTGAACATCTGTAAGTGATTGTCCTTGACAATTACCGCCAAATGTAGGGTTTAAACAACTTCGCACTCTATTCATTGTTGGTACTACTGAACCAATCTGACAAGACTGACTGCATGCAGAAAATCCTGACCATTGTGTAAGATCTCCTGGAAATATTTTTTAAGAATATATATATTTTTTACAGGTAACAATATATAAGGTAACAATATATATATTTTTTATTTTCATCATCATAAAAATAGATGACACAGATAATAAAAAATAACAATACCTGGACAAGAAACTTGGGAATTGCAGTTTTGAGTTTCAGAACTTACGCCAACACAACCACCATTCAATGTAAAATTTTGACAAGTTCTTGTGTGAAACTGTGTAGGAGAATTGTTAATATTAGATTGACATGATTCGGAACAAGAACTCCATGCTGACCAAGCTGTATAAAAACCTAAAACAAAAAATTAAAACATATTAAAATATTTACTTGATTATGATCAAATAAAAATGTTACAAAAAAAAAAAAAAAAATCTCACCTGGACATGGAACATTTTGATTACAAAATTGCTGATCATTTAAACTAGCTCCACCACAAACCACTAGATTTGGATTCCATGTAGAAGCACCAATACAAGATTGACTTCTATACTGATAGGGTCCATTTACTTGAGTATTACACGAGGCAGAACATACACTCCATGCACCCCAACCACTTAATGTTCCTATTTAAATATATAAATCATAAGTAGCCTCCGTAAAAACTACAAAATATATTAATAAAAATTGTTATATTTCTTAATAGTCATTTTTACTAAAAAAATTTTTAATCCACTATCTACCACATATTATTCTCAACTTTGACGTTTGAATAACTTTTCAAGATATCCAAAAACATTAAATTTTTACTACTTGTCTTAAAAGTTTGTTTTTGTTATAAATTTAAAAAATTATATCATTTTTTAAGTTATTTAGATCACATTTTTTCAATTACAGGTAACATGACAATTTAAGAAAAAAAAAGTGATATAAAGTGTTTAGCATGTAATGGTCAATCTACATAAACAAAAACATGGTACCTTTAAAGTTCTTCCTGTTTAATTAGGCCAAAAAAAAGAAAATGTTACTCTAGTGAACAAAAACTTAATAAAATTTTTACAAAAGAGAAATTTTATAATTGATAGTTATAATTATAATTATAATTACTTATGTAACTATGAAAGACTTCTAATATTTGATATTTAAATATTATTTATAAAATTTAATAAACGTTTTAAGACTTGAGAGACCCTCTTAGGCATTAAATTGCACATATTTTGACATGATTTTGGAGATATGTATGTATGTATATATATATATATATATATATATATATATATATATATATATATATATATATATATATATATATATATATATATATATATATATATATATATATTTGACACTGATAAAGATGTAACTGAGCTAAAAAAGCTCAAGTGCATCTTGATCTCCATCAAATATATATATATATATATATAATATATATATATATATATATATATATATATATATATATATATATATATATATATATATATATATATATATATATATATATATATATATATATTATGTCTAGGGTTTTCTAATGTACCCGACGGGCATTTGTTTTTTAAATTACGTTCTAAACGTGTTTTAAACGTCTTTTAAACATTAATGTTTAAAAGATATTTAAAACACATTTAGATCGTAACTTTTAAAAACAAATGCCCGTCGGGTATTTTATGCAACTTGCTTAAACACATAACAACATTTTTTTAACAATGAGCAATAATCATCCCAAAAAATGCATTAATTCAAACTTAATAAAAAAATGCTTGAAAAAGATATAAATGACATAAATGATACCTGGACAAATAACTTCTGCATTACAGTTTTTAGTTTGAGTTAAAGCTTGACCATTACAATTACCACCTAAAGAGGCTCCTGAACAAGTGCGAGTACTGGTTTGTGTTGGCACAGTATATTCAAGTTGACAAGAAGCTGAACATGCTCCCCATGTTGACCAACCACTCAATACACCTGAAACAAAAAATTAAAAAATCTTTGCAAAACTGTAACAAAACATGATAAAAAGCATAATAAATTTTGCAATAAATACAATTTATTAATTTTAATAAAAGTTAATTTAAAATTAATTTGATTTTTACTCTCAGAGTTTATATAAATTAAAGTTAAAATAATATTAATAATATTAAATAATATAAAATAAAATAATAAAATAATATTAAAATAATATATTTACTTGAGTACCATTTTATAAAATACTGATCTGCTTAACTTAAAGGAAAAACAATACAATTTTAAGAATGCTTTTCTTTCATATTTCATATTATATACTTTCTTTTACAGTAAAGTCAGTTTTTATAAGAATAAAAATCATAATAAAAGCAATATATTCTAAAATTAATCTAAATTTTTATTCACAAAAAAAATATAGCACACTTTTTCTTTTTAAATGTATAAAAAATATTAATAATAAAGGGGGAGGAAAGGGACGCTTCTAGCGCCCCCTCCCTTTATGGATCACCCATAAATGTATGCACATAATAATAATATTTATTTAGTAACAAAAGTGCAAGAGTAGTTAAACTTTTACTGTATTGGCACAAAATAACTATGAACCAAAATTCATATAGAAACAAAACAATACAAAATTTACTATTGCTAAAGCTACCTGGACAAGGTACTCCACTATTACAAGCCATTGTTTGAGAACTAGGCCCAGCGCAACCACCTCCTAATGTAGCCCCTAGACATGGTCTAGTCTGAGTTTGAAATGGAGTTGCAGCAGGATTAGACTGACAAGATTCAGAGCAACTACTCCATGCACTCCACGCACCATAACTACCTGTTTTAATTAAAAAAACCATTTTAGAATTTAAATATAAAATATCTTTATAAAAATAATATTTTAGAAATAAACCTCACCTGAACAAGCAACATTAACATTACAAGATTGTTGATCACTTTTAGTGATACCAGGACAACCAGTATAGTTAGGATCCCATGTTGAATACCCAATGCATGACCGACTTCTCGTTTGGAAAGGTACAGTAACAAGATTGTTACATATAGAAGAACATGCACCCCAAGAACTCCAATCTGATATTGTTCCTAATTAATTGTACTTTTTTTTTAAATAAGCCATTTAACCCAAAAGCAAGTTGTAAAAAATAAAAAGATAAAAACCCGATTTAATTTTTCTTTTTTAAATTGTTTCAAAAACATTACTTTATATAGATTTTTGTTGATAACCTGAGTGTTTCAGTATTTTAACACAAACCTTGACAATAAACTTGCTCATTACAATTTTGAGTATCAGTCAACACTGCTCCATTACAATTGCCATTAAAAGTAGCACCAACACATTGACGATTTCTTGTCTGAGTAGGTGGAGTGAAACTTAACTGACAACTTGCTGAGCATACTCCCCATGCTCCCCATGTACTTATAAAACCTAAAATGTAACCAAAAATATATTAAAATGCATGCAGTAAAAAAACTAACTACAAACAGGCTTTTTCAAGAAGTTTTTCAAGTATTTTAAAACTACTTAATACTTAGGTCACTTTTTTTTTCACACTTTTTTAAAAACTTATAATGCTCTCTTAACACTTGTAAAACAATATTTGTCAAAATTCAATATTTGTTTAGAAATTTTTGAAAAAAACATTTTCTCAAAACTTGATCCCACAGCCAGCTGCTCATCATTATAAAGAAACCTGCGGCTCATCATTATAAAGAAACCTGCTGCTCATCATTATAAAGTAACCTGCTGCTCATCATTATAAAGAAACCTGCTGCTCATCATTATAAAGAAACCTGTTGCTCATCATTATAAAGAAACAAGGATCTGTACCTGACCATAACTATTTTTAACTATCATTTTTATCATATATTTGAAAACTATAAATAAATAACAAATTTATATGAATTGAGTGAATACTTAATAAATCTATGAATTGAGTGAATACTTAATAAATCAATTTTATTTTTATAATTATAAAAGAAAGTCACCTGGACATGATATTCCAGTATTGCAGCTTTGAGTTTGAGAACTTGTTCCAGGACAACCACCATTTAATGTAGCACCAATACATTGCCTAGTCTGAGTTTGAATTGGAGAAACATTAGGATTCGACTGACAAGATTCTGAGCAAGCTCCCCATGTACTCCATGCACCATAATTACCTATTGTTAAAAAAATTTATTTGCAATAGCTATAAATAAATTTATTTTTCCAGGTGGAGCATTGAGAATTAAAACTTATTCTGATAGTCTTGCAAAACAGTTGAATATGTTTACATATATACAAAATTAACATATAAAATATATCTCACCTGGACAAGGAACATTTTGATTACAAAGTTGTTGATCATTTAAACTGACATTATTACAGCCTACATAATTTGGATTCCATATAGATGCACCAATACAAGATTGGCTTCTATACTGATACGGACCATTGACTTGAGTGTTACAGGAGGCAGAACACGCACTCCAAGAACCCCAACCACTCAATGTTCCTATTTTGATATTTTAAAAACAATTATCAGGGCAACCATAGTAAACATAGTAAAAATATACAGTACTATTTGTTTTAGCATGTTTTAATTAAATTAGCAGTTTTATGTTGCATTGCTATAAAGCTGTTAAACGTATTTCTCATAATTAGTCGGACTAAACATAAATACATTGATTGAAACGTTTGCTAATGAATATAATAAAATTAACAAAATAACATGAATTTAGTTGGATTTGACCCCAAGATCTCAAACACAAAATTTGTTTTACATGCAAGACATACTTGTTTAAAGGAAAAATCTGAATCAAATAGTTTCTTTTTTATATATTATTCAATAAAAAAAACGAGTTTTTATTATTGAATAATATAGTTTAGCCTTAATTTAACCATTTAGAATTTTTTATTTGAAACAATAAACAAAGCATAGCATATAATATTAAAACATTTTAAAATATTACCTGGACAAAGAACCTCTGCATTACAGTTTTTAGTTTGGGTTAAAGCTTGACCATTACAATTACCACCTAAAGAGGCTCCTGAACAAGTACGAGTACTGGTTTGTGTTGGCACAATATATTCCAGTTGACAAGAAGCTGAACATGCTCCCCATGTTGACCAACCACTCAATATACCTGAAACAGAAAATTAAAAAATCTTTGCAAAACTGCAGCTTTCATGCTAATAAAATAAGATTCACAATAAATACAATTTATTAACTCTAATGATTACAATAAAATTATATATATATATATATAATTATATATATATATTTTTAAATATATATATATATATAATTATATATATTATATATATATATATATATAAAATTATATATATATTTAAAAAAATGCAAACAAGATAAGTATCAAGTTTGTAACTGTAATTGAATGGTTTCTAAATTTAAGATTTAATTGATTTTTACTCTCAGAGTTTATGTCAGTTTAAATCAAAGTTCTGCTTACATGAAAATTTAAATTAAAGAAAAAACATTTTAGGAATGTTTTTCTCTCAATGAAACACATATTTACACAGTCACATATTTATATGATTATCTTTCTTTTAAAATTGTCCTAAGCTATAAATTTCTGCAAAGTTAGGCTAATTGATTAAGCATGAAAATTTAACTTAAAGGAAAAGCAATGAAATTTTAAGAATGCTTTTCTTTCATATTTATTTGATTATCTTTCTTTTAAAGTAAAGTCAGTTTTTAAAAGAACAAGTCAGATTTAGCAACTAAAAATAAAAATAAAAAAAAAGCAAAAAATTCTAAAATTACTCTAAATTGTTATTTACAAAAAAATATAGCACACAGTTTTCCTAATGTTTTAGTTTACAACTTGCTGTTTATTGCACACTATAATATATGAAACAACTTGGCATGTGCAGAAGCTTGCAAATACAGATATTCTTATGAAAGCTTGGTAATATTTATACTAAATTGAAAAAAAAGTATATTTTATTTGCAGCAATTTTGCAACCAAAACATAATATGCAACGATCAATTTTCATAGGAAATAAATAAACAAACTGGGTGTCTACTCAGAAAAACCAATAAGCGCCAACCCCAACCCCCCCATTAATTATTAGAATTTTACATTATTACAATTAGAATTTATAAAGAATAAATTTTAAACATAAATTTAAAGCCAAGATATATTAGTATTTTCTACCACTAAATTTATTAAAACCTTTTGTGTATAAAAAATAAATGGTTTGGAATAGACCTACTCTTATTATATAAGTAAATTTATTCTTTTATTTTGCATTTTACTATTTTGACAAAACTTCCAAAAATATAAAAAAAGTTATTTTAACTAATCCTGACAGTAATTAAAATCTTTTAATTAATTTTAATTAAAATTAAATTTAAATTAAACTAAATCTTCCAATCGCCAATTAAAATTTCTTCTCATCTGCCAATTAAATGTGAAAAGGGGGATCTTATTTTTCAGAAGAGTCGAATTTTAAAAAATTTTAAATTTTGAAAAACAATGAGAGAATTGACATGCAACTATTAAGATTTTTAAACCAATTACTTTTTATTGATTGCTAAAAATTATTAAAATGATGAGACCATATATGGAACAAAGAAAATACAGACATTTTTTAAAATTATCTTCGCTTCCAACAAGGCTGCAAGCAACCACTTATTAGTGTTGGAAGTTACTGGAAGAGAAAAGATAAAGATTGTAGAGCAAGATAACGATTGACAGACGAATTAAAAGATTGCAAATTATATGAATCAGAAAAGCAAGATGAAGGAAGCGAATTCCAAAGAACTGATGTTCAAGGAAAATTCCAAAGGACTGATTCAAGGAAAATTCCAAAGAACTGATGTTCGAGGAACATGTAGTATATTAATGTTATATGTGCATAACAGTTACAAAAGTTGCATAATTGTTACAACAGTATGCACATATAATATTTATACTTATTTTTTATACTTTCACACAAGATGTCAACCTACAAATCATATATATATATATATATATATATATATATATATATATATATATATATATATATATATATATATATATATATATATATATATATATATATATATATATATATATATATATATATATATATATATATATATATATATATATATATATATATATATATATACACACACATCACACATATAAAGATAATTGTTACATATGGCAATCTAAAGTAGACATAATAACATTATGTATGTAATATAACAACTGTGTGCACATATAATACTTATACTTAATTTCTACCAAAATTACAGCAGTAGTTAAACTATTTTTATTATTATTATTATTATTATTCAACCATATTAATAAAAATTATTAGAACAAAACAACTATGAACCAAAATTTATAAAAAAACAAAGCAATAGAAAATTTGCTATTAAAAAAAGATACCTGGACAAGGTACTCCACTATTACAAGCCATTGTTTGAGAACTAGGCCCAGCGCAACCACCTCCTAATGTAGCCCCTAGACATGGTCTAGTCTGAGTTTGAAATGGAGTTGCAGCAGGATTAGACTGACAAGATTCAGAGCAACTACTCCATGCACTCCATTCACCATAACTACCTGTTTTGATTTAATAAACCATTTTAGGAAATTTAAATATCAAATATCTTTATAAAAATAATATTTTAGAAATAAACCTCACCTGAACAAGCAACATTAACATTACAAGATTGTTGATCACTTTTAGTGATACCAGGACAACCAGTATAGTTAGGATCCCATGTTGAATACCCAATACATGATCGACTTCTTGTTTGAAAAGGTATATTTACAAGATTATTACATATAGAAGAACACGCACCCCAAGAACTCCAATCTGATATTGTTCCTAAATAAATTATACTTTTTTTTAAAATAAGCCATTTAACCCAAAAACAAGTTGTAAAAAATAAAAAGATAAAAACCCAATTAAATTTTTATTTTTTATAACTATTTCATTAATATTACATTGTATTGATTTTTGCTATTTTACTGATTGTAAGTTAAGTCAAATACGTGAACACAAACCTGGACAATAAACTTGCTCATTACAATTTTGAGTATCAGTCAACACTGCTCCATTACAATTGCCATTAAAAGTAGCACCAACACATTGACGATTTCTTGTCTGACTAGGTGAAGTGAAACTTAATTGACAACTTGCTGAACAGGCTCCCCACGCTCCCCATGCACTTATAAAGCCTAAAATATAAGCAAAAGTATATGAAAAAACATGTTATAAACTCTACTACAAAAAGACTATTTTTTGACAAGTTTTCCAACTATTTTGAAAATTATTTAGGTCACAAAAACTTTCTAAAAAGTTTTTACACTCAACATTTAAATAAAAATATAAACTTTTTTCTAGAGAAAAGTATAAACGAAATTAATTTCATTAAAAATAAATTATCATTTTCATCATTTGTTGAGAAACTTTGAAAAATATTTTTTTCTTAAAACATGAGCCCAGAGTCAGCTGTCCATTTATATGAGAATATAAATGAGTTTATAGAGAATATAAATGAGCTTATATCAACGATCTAAATTTACTTATTTTTCACAACTATTTTTTTCAAGAAGATTAGAAATTGATTACAATTATTTACATGTTGGTAAGTGAATACAAAACACTTTAATTTTCTTTTTTAAAATTATAAAAGAAAGTCACCTGGACAAGAAACTCCAGTATTGCAGTTTTGAGTTTGAGAACTTGTTCCAGTACAACCACCATTTAATGTAGCACCAAGACATTGCCGAGTCTGAGTTTGAAATGGAGACACATTAGTATTTGACTGACAAGTTTCGGAGCAAGCTCCCCATGCACTCCATGCACCATAGTTACCTATTGTTATAAAATTTACTTCCAATAAGTTTAAACAATTTTTTTTTTTTTGTTAACAAACATTGACCACTTGATAAATAAAACTTGATCTGATGCTGTCTTACTTACCAAAAGTTAAATATATTTGTACATATAAAAAAGTTAATATTAAACATGTCTTACCTGGACAAGGAACATTTTGATTACAAAGTTGTTGATCATTTAAACTGACATTATTACAGCCTACATAATTTGGATTCCATATAGATGCACCAATACAAGTTTGGCTTCTATACTGATACGGACCATTGACTTGAGTGTTACAGGAGGCAGAACATGCACTCCAAGAACCCCAACCACTTAATGCTCCTATTTTGATATTTTAAGAACAATTATTAGGGCAACCATAGTAACCATAGTAAAAATATACAATACTATTAATTTAACAAAGTTTTTAATTTAACATATTTATCATTATCAGTCTGGCTTAATATAAATGCATCGACTATTATTGTAACATTATGAATATACACCTTGTACAGAAAGTTTGAATGCACTTGTTTTTTTGTAAGTAATGATAAGTTTAGACTGGTACAAAGAGAAAACCTGATGCAGGGTCCACTTTTTTTTGTTTTCTTTCCTAGCTAATTATTTAAAAAAACGCAACTTAGAAAGAAAAAAGACTTTTTCCGAAAGTTTAAACTTTATTGCACTTGCTTCTCATTAAATTTTTAATTAAAGTATTTTATAATCGAAACTTTCAGGAAAATATTTGATGATTGAATGTGCTGTATGACATGGAGCCATATTTTTATTCCACTGAATAAATGAAAAAAAACATGTTGAAAATTTTTGCACTGAATAACTGAAATGATTTTTGCACAATTTTTTTTCATTTTTAGTATTTGGATAATGCCAAAGGCTTTCATACAGAATGAAACAAATTTGATTCTTTCTTAACATTAATTTCTAGACCAACATTAATTTGGTGGTCTCCTATCAATTTTGAACTTTAATTAGTCATTAATTTTTTTTTTAATTTGTTATTTAGGTGCCCTAAAAAGACCTAACGGTCTTGTCACAGAACACCGCAGAAGTGCATTTAACCAGGAAGTTCACGCCTCCTTTCTTACCGTGACGCGAAATATTTCCAAAACTTGTTTCAAACCTGGATCTCATGCTTATAAAGCAAGCGCTCTAACCACTGCACCATGGCAACACAATTAATAAATCCAACATAATATGCCCGTTAATAAAAATTATTGAATGATCAAAATTTCTGATTGTATTCTAATCATGATTCAACTCTTTCTTATACAATAATTTATTTATTGTTTTAACTAATTGTCTGCAAGAATACTAGCATGTAAAGCATGCTTACATTTGTGCTGACATTTATTTTGGACACTCAATATGAAATGAATTATTGACACTACGAGTTGATAAGTAATTTCTACATTAAACGATGAAATATTCAAGCCTCAGCCAATTTTTCAGTTGCTCATTTTCATTTTATGCATGTTAATGACTTACCAATTAGTTTCTAATGAAACAACAATTTATTAGGTTATGATTTCTTAAAAGATTAAAAAATTTTGTACAAGATGTAATCTTCTCTACACATTGCTAAGTTCAAACCGAATTCTTAAAAATGGAATGTTTTGACAAGAGAACACACTATGTTATCAAGATGTAGTTGGATTTGAGCCCAAGATCTCAAATGTAAAAACTTATTTTATATGTAAACATATTTGTTCGCATTAAAACATATTTATTTAAAATAAAAAACTAATTTAAAACGTTTTTTTTGTTTAAAAAAAGTTCTGTTCTTTCAAAGAATTTGGCAAAGTACTTTTTATTGAAAAAGATACTTCTGGATTGTAATGTTTAGCAACTTTTCGATATTATAATATTTTTCTATAGTAGTTTAATTTCAACCAAAATCTCAAAAAACAAGTTTTTATTCAAGTCTTTATATAGTATATAGCCATTAGTAATAAAAAAACGTTTTTATTTAAAACAATAAACAAAGCATTGAATATAATATAAAAAATTAAAATAATACCTGGACAAAGAACCTCAGCATTACAGTTTTTAGTTTGAGTTAAAGCTTGACCGTTACAATTACCACCTAAAGAGGCTCCTGAACAAGTGCGAGTACTAGTTTGTGTTGGCACAGTATAATCCAATTGACAAGAAGATGAACATGCTCCCCATGTTGACCAACCACTTAATATACCTGAAACATCAGAAAAAAAAAAATATTTAAAAAGCATGCTTAAAACACCTAAGACATTAAAGAGAATGAAAATAAAAATCATTACAAAATTTATGATCACTAAAATTCCCATTAATTAAATCTCTAATTTTTTTTTATGTTTAATTTTTAATCGGTAAATAAAACAAAAATATAAAAATACAAATCTGGTACTATAAAGTTTGTAAATACAATTTAAAAAATCCTTATGTGCAATGTAAATATGTTTTATGCACACACAAAAAAAAAAGTAAAAAAAAAAAAAAAAAAAATCAAAAACATATATTTACAATTTGTACATAATAGTACACAACTACATTTCTAAGACAGCAGAAAAAATAGTTTTTCTAAATAAGCTAGCTAAAAAAACACAAATTTTTTAGCTAGCTTAATATTACAACTACACTAATTACTAGTTTTTATTGTATTTGCAATCTCAAGTTTATTGTATTTAACAAGTTGATGATGCATAAGTCTATAAGTAATTAATATTAAAATCATTTTTTATGCTTTAAAAAATATTTTAATGCATTCTCACACAAGATGTCAACCTACATATCATATATATATATATATATATATATATATATATATATATATATATATATATATATATATATATATATATATATATATATATATATATATATATATTTACACACACATGCATATATATGTTACATATGGCAATCTAAAGTAGACATAATAACATTATGTATGTAATATAACAACTGTATGCACATATAATACTTATACTTATTTCCAAAATTACGAATTGAACCAAAATTTATATAGAAACAAAGCAATCAAAAACTTGCTACTAAAAAAGAAACCTGGACAAGGTACTCCAGTATTACAAGCCATTGTTTGAGAACTAGGCCCAGCGCAACCACCTCCTAATGTAGCCCCTAGACATGGTCTAGTCTGAGTTTGAAATGGAGTTGCAGCAGGATTAGACTGACAAGATTCAGAGCAACTACTCCATGCACTCCATTCACCATAACTACCTGTTTTGATTTAATAAACCATTTTAGAAAATTGAAATATTAAATATTTTTATAAAAATAATATTTTAGAAATAAACCTCACCTGAACAAGCAACATTAACATTACAAGATTGTTGATCACTTTTAGTGATACCAGGACAACCAGTATAGTTTGGATCCCATGTTGAATACCCAATGCATGACCGACTTCTTGTTTGAAAAGGTATATTTACAAGATTATTACATATAGAAGAGCATGCACCCCAAAAACTCCAATCCGATATTGTTCCTATTATGAAAAATTGCTTTTAAAAAAAAAAAACTTGTATCTTATACATTTTATAAGTCTTTAATTTGACTAATAAAATATGATAAATAAAAACACATATATAAAAGATATAAACTAATTAGTGCTGACTTTAACTTGAATACAATTCAATTATATTAAATAAAATTTTAAGTATAGATTTTGAAACTCTGGTGGTTGCAAAGTTTAAAATATTCTAAAACTTGCTTTTAATTACATAAAAAAAAGTCACAATAAAAGACTTAACATAGATTACTACTACATGGTTGCTAAATACGGCATCAAAAACAAAACTCTTCTGAAACAAGTTTTATATATTCTAACACAAACCAGGACTAAATTTCTTTTTTTTTTTTTTTGAAAAATAAAATTAGGTAGTGGAAATTTCTTGACCATAATATAAATTATATTATATATGGTTAAAGCTGTAAGATAAAAGTAAAATACAATTAAAAGTAAAATATTTTTAAGGTCAAAATCTTTTGATTTTAAAAATTGACCTATATAAAGCTTTAAAGTTGTAAAGTCTTTCTTCAATGTGTTATGCAATACTTTTTAAACTTATTTAATTTTTTATGTTATTTTTCCTTTGAGATTTTACTTTTACTTGTGTACCTTTAAGCTATTATTCTATGTTTTCTATTATTTTTGTACATTGTCTATAAAATAATAAATTTAATTGAAACAAGTTTTTCCTGATATTTAATTTTTTACATTTCTCAACATTTTATAAAATAATTTAAAAAAATACCTGGACAATAAATTCCAACACTGCATGTTTGTGAATCGACAGTGGATTGTCCATCACAATTTCCACCAAGTGTTGCTCCAACACAAGTTCGCGATCTTTGTTGAGTTGGTAATGTTGATGTTAATTGACATGTAGCTGAACATTGACTCCATGCTCCCCATGATGATATTATTCCTTGAGTTAATACACATATTTATGAAACAAATTTTATTTATATAACAAATTTAATTAATTTTGATCAAAGAAAAATCATTAAAAAAAGACCTAATTATTGTAAATGTTTTTAAAAAAACAACAACACAACAGTTGACCAAGAACCCCATAGTTAATATCAAAAATAAATTTATGCTACTTATTTTTCTCCTAGGAATAATATTTGCTTTATTTTTAAGTACAAAGAATTACATAATTATAAATTTTTAAGAGTAATAGCTCTATAAAATTATAATAGTTTAAACTTATATACTAATTTAATTAAAATTTTATAATAATTTTTATAATATTTAAAACTTTTTATAATATATGTATGTAATTTATTATGATTTAGTATAAAAATAAGATTTTCAATGATTTTATTTTTTTTACCGAATTTACCAATATATACGGAAAAATTATATATATATATATTTTTTTCTAAATTATTTAGATTAAATTTAAAAGTCAGTAAAAACTCTATTTTCAAAACACATCTTTTTTAATAATACATAGTACTTCATACAAATAATAATAATAACAATACATAGTACTAATAATAATAATACTTCAGTTATTGCAACATGACCAAAAAATCTTGCAAGTTAAAACATTATACACTAATTTAATTAAAATTTGTTTTTAAAATATTGTAACAAAAAACTTGAGTTTTTTTACGTTTCCTGAGTATCTTTTTGCTGTTCCCTATTAAATATTTGTAAATAAATTCAATAGATATTTTCTTTACCTTGACAAGGAGTATTTGTGTTGCACTCTTGTGTCTCTGATAAAGATCCAATACAAGATCCAAGTCCTGGGAGACATGATCTAAACCGAGATGTTTTTGGTGGAACACTGTCTAAATTACAGCTTGCTGAGCATGCACCCCAACTACTCCATTCAGAAAATGAGGCTAATAAAAAAAAAAAAAAAAAACTATGATCATATATAACATTGAAAGCAATCTGCAATCTTTAAATCTGATGTCATACTGATTAGGGTAGTGCTTAAAATCTTTTTTTTTTTCAGAAAAATCTATTTTTACCCACTAAAAAGGTTCTATATGATAAAATAACACTTGATTTAAAAAGAACTTCATGGGGTGCCCCAAGAACCATGAACATTTAAAAATCCCTAATACTATCCACAAAAAAATTTTTTTTTCAAAAGAAAGTTGGGTCTTAAATAAAGCAAAGTTATATAAAACTTTCTATTTTTAGTTATATAAAATTTAATATTATCAATATATATATATATATATATATATGAAATTTTTTTTTTTTATATAAAATTTTATACATATATATAATATTATGTGTATATATATATATATATATATATATATATATATATATATATATATATATATATATATATGTATATATATATATAT